GAAACTAAGCGTCTGATTGAAGTTTGGTTTGCACCATAAATTTTTTCTTAAAGTGTTTTTCTTGTACTCTGAATATTAAAACGCAGCGCCGAAATTAATATTTTTCACGTAATGTGGGGGTATTGTGAACCAGATCATTGGAGGGGTCATTTTGTTTTTCGTCTATCTCGGAAACTAAGCGTCTGATTGAAGTTTGGTTTGCACCATTAAATTTCTCTTAAAGTGTTCTTCTTGTACCCTGAATATTAAAACGCAGCGCCGACAAATAATATTTTTCGATTTTTGTCACGAAATGGGGGGGGTATTGTGAACCTGATCATTCGAGGGATCATTTTGTTTCTCGTCTATCTTGGAAACTATGCGTCTGATTGAAATTTGGTTTGCACCATAAATTTTCTCTTAAAGTGTTTTTCTTGTACCCTGAATATTAAAAAGCAGCGTCGAAATTAATATTTTTCAATTTTTGTCACGTAATGGGGGTGTATTGTGAACCTGATCATTCAAGGGGTCATTTTGTTTCTCGTCTATCTCGGAAACTAAGCGTCTGATTGGAGTTTGGTTTGCACCATTAAATTTCTCTTAAAGTGTTTTGCTTGTACCCTAAATATTAAAACGAGCGCCGAAATTAATATTTTTTCATATTTGTCACGTAATGGGGGGGTACTATGAACCTGATCATTCGAGGGTTCATTTTGTTTCTCATCTATCTCGGAAACTATGCGTCTGATTGAAATTTGGTTTGCACCATAAAATTTCTCTTAAAGTGTTTTCCTTGTACCTTGAATATTAAAACGCAGCGCCGAAATTAATATTTTTCCATTTTTGTCACGTAAAGGGGGGGTATTGTGAACCTGATCATTCGGGGGGATTATTTTGTTTCTCGTCTATCTCGGAAACTAAGCGTCTGATTGAAGTTTGGTTTGCATCATAGAACTTTTCTTAAAGTGTTCTACTTATACCCTGAATATTAAAAGGCAGCGCTGATGTTAATATTTTTCCATTTTTTAGCACGTAATGGGGGGGTCTTATGAGCCTGATCATTTAAGGGTTCATTTTGTTTCTCGTCTATCTCGGAAACTAAGCGTCTGATTTGAGTTTGATTTGCACCATTGAATTTTTTTAAACTTTTCTACCTATACCCAGAATATAAAATAATAAATTTTCTTGTTTACTTCTTTCAATAAAATAATCTAGGATAAATTACAATTTTGTAATTCGTTAATTTTTTTGGTATTTGTAAAAGTAAATTGAAAGGAAAGTAAATGAGTACATTTTTCATAAATATCATATCATATTTATATTTTGAATACATAGTACACAAGTTATCACTTCCTCAGAAGCGTCTTAAAGTCCGGACGTCGTTGACTAAGAACGTAATATTTTAAACTGTTCTGATAATGCAAATCAGCACTCATTTAAAAAATTGCTTGATGAATTTAACTATTTCAAAAGGAGAATATGAGGTGTGAATTTTTAATTAAACTGAGGGTGCAGAAATATCACACTTTCTACATTTTTGAGACTAATGCCAGTTTTTCCGCTCAAACTAACAAAAACGTATTCGACCGTCCAGTCTTTAAAACGCCTTCGGTGTGTGTCAGTCCTTTCGTAACTCACCAACATAATTCGCTGATCATAAGCGGTATAGAAACATGTCCACAAAACCATTAACTACAACACTAAGGATATGATCTTGAGGGCTGAGAGGTAGAAGGGAAGATATGTTCGCAAAGTTTTGGGGCAATGGGGGGTACAAAGCGTCTTCTCTAGGGCGCCGAGACGATCGTCATGACGCGTCACCCGGAAAACGCTGGGCTCTCAACGGCGGAACGGCGTCTTCGCATGGCGCACTTCCTAGTTGCAGAGTTTCTCAACAGTCCATTTTTCAACCTTTGCACCTACACAGGATCATAAGAATACAGCACTCCATTATCGTGTAGGTTCTATCGCGTTCGGAGGCGGTAAAAACGTAACAGAAACATTTCTATATTTTACCACATTTACACAGTACAAAAATTGAGCACTTCGCCTGTTGACGACCTTTTTATCAATAGCTGTTACTTACAAGGTGTACAACATGTTCTTGGTAAAGTCCTTCGTTCAAAGATACTGTTCCGTTATGTTTTAGAGTTAAGATCATTACCGTGGAGATTGTTTTCTTGCATACAAATGAAAGTCTGTGGAACTTGGTACTTCTTCGAATTTGATAGCAATTCTTTCAGCCACAATGAGGGACGAGACCAGACATAATTTGCACAAACAATTGTTTCTGCAACAGTTCGTCACCAATGATCAGTGACAATTATATATTACGAGATTAAACTTTATTTCCCAATTTTATTTACATTTGGAAATTTGAGTTTACATTCAAAAGAATTAACGTGAAAAGAAAATGAAAGCTAACTCTCAAATATTTCACATTTGGTACGTCTGTGGGGCGTCATAAAGTAATGATTAGGAAAGATAGTTTTTTAATACTGCATATCCAACGCTCCAATAACGACTAAATTGCACAAAATGCAAAACATATTCCATAGACTGATATTTTTCTGTTTGATTGATCAGGAGATTCATTCACCGTTTTTTCTGAAAAAAATCAAATTAAGAATGTATGTGCAAAATTAAACATATGTCCTAGGATATTTATAGGTTCTAAAAATATGTAAATGCATGTGGAAACCGAATAAGTATATTTAATTGAAAAAAACATACTAACAAATAATATATTGTTAAGAATTTCCTTGGATTCCGTGTAGTAGTGTTTGTAATTAAGGGAAATAAGCAGGTGTTTCAGAAAAAATGAGAAAAAATTCTGTTATGAAGAATAATCCAAGATGATCACTTTTTGGCTGGTAAACATGTGGCGAGTAGTTTCATAAAACACAGTTTCACGTATTACATTTGTCATTGCTAAACTCTTAGGTAATTTACAATGCACCGGTGATCTCCACACGATCATTGGAAAAGAGTATTCACCTTGTATTTTGGTAAATGCTCTAAAAAGTTTGTGACATTGATTCTGAGACAGCATCTATATGATAATTTCATAATTCTTTTAAAATATTTCATGTCTGACGCCCATCAAAACATATACACGTTTTTTCACAACGAATACAAAACAATTAGCTTCCTTTTTGTCCAGTCTAGTATTCATTAACTTGATTATGTATTTCCCGTGATTTGTGAATTGGAGGTCTATATTTTGTAAATTCTGTGCATCTCAGTATTGTCTCGCTTACCAACTTTTCTACTCAGACAGTACAAATGTGCTCACACGCAATTGGTGAGAAGGGAGATACTTGGAAGGAAGATCTAGAGCAATGACAACTCACAACAAACTAAATCAATTGTCAAATTTGTCATACATAGTAACAGAGAATTTTTCTCTTATTGGAAGCCATGCACATACAATACGATACATACAATAATATTGAAGCTTTTGTAAATACGCATTAAAACACCTTTGAACGCCAGGTTAAACAATTAATGTTCATACACGTTCTCTTATAAGAATTTCCCCTATTTCTTCCATTTTATTAAAACATACATTTTTTGTCTTCTATAAAACTCGATCACACATGGACAAAATTTCGGAACAGAAACGTAATCAGTTCGTTACAGAGCTCTGATAATGCATCCGCTTCATACAAACTTGATCAGATCTCGCACACAACATCCGAAACGATCGACTAACGAGTTCTGCCACCACTGTAGACATTTTGTCTTGAGACCTTGATTATGCTGTAATTAGAGGCACAGACGTCTTCACGTTGATTGAATTATCTAGTTTTGGGATTACTACGGAATTGAAGTAAGCCAACAGTTCGTGTGAGTACTGAATATTCGACTGCCGCCCTACGAAGAAAAACGTTTGGCTAGGAGCAGTCTCTCGCAGGTGTTGCAGAATGAATCTAACGGCTGTCTCTCGGTGCGTGTGTGTAGTGTGTGGGTGTATGTATGTTTCCTGTACATATGTACAAATATAATTCTGCTTCTAAAACGGAAGTTCTTTAGCAAAACGTGGCTTCCGGCTGGCCGGCGCCTCCCGCAGGCCGCGCTGCGCGGTGCGGCGGGGGGCGTGGCTGGGCGTGGGCGCGGGCGGCGGGCGCCTACGCGGGGCCGCGCTGGCAGCGTCATCTGACGGCGCAGGCGAGCAGCAGCGCCAGCAGCGGGGCGAGCAGCGTGGCGGCGGCGCGTGGGGGACCGTGGTTGCGGCGGGCGGCGGCGCGCCGCGCGCCCGAGTTGACGGTCAGCTCGTTGGGCATGTCGCGCACCGTCGCGCTGTGGTCGTGCGCGCTGTCCTCCATCACGGCCTGCAGCGGCGCTGCGGACACAACACGCCAACGGTTAGAATGGTTTGCTTGGTTGCTTATTGCGGGTCTGGAATATACAGTTTTTTTTTTGTTTTTTTAAATGTTTTTTATCTGATCTTCCCCCGCAGCAGAGTGGGAACCGGCGCCGACCTACAGGTCGGCATGAGGAGTTTTCCCCAACCAGGTATCACCCAGCACTGTGCCACCACCCCAACCGGGACAAGCTCTTCGCTCCCGACTAGCCTCCCGAGGAGTGTGGAAGTGGAGTGCATGGGAGGGTAAGTGTATGTAAGTAAGAGGATGAGGGTAAGACGAGGAAGAGGAAGAAGACAGGTCTGTGGCGTTTGTTAGGGTACTGCTACTAGAGTAATTCGCCTGGTGTTGTTCGGAGAAACAACAGAAAACTACCGACCAGACCAGCCTACCGTTAGAGTTCTCCTTTATCTGCGGATGAATTCGACATAGCTTTGTCGAAAATCATGCCATGGTCTAGACACGAACGCTCGCACCTTCTGATCAAATATGCAATGGCATCCGGATTGCAATATGCAATGATATCAATTGATTCCCTGTCCCACCTAAGGCGGTCCATTGTTAACAGGGGTTGTCAACTTGGAAGGAAAAATTTGGGGCTAAGGCTAAGTGGAATGGAGCGTCCCGGCACGCCGACATCCCTAATGCAGGAGCGCGGGACGGGGCGGGGTCAGGGGGGCTGCGAGTTCGAATCCCACTTTGGCTTGGATATTTACCGTGGTGTTGTAGCATGGTGGGCCCTCCCTAGACAATGCATCGTAATTAAATATCATATAATAACATTATATTATATTTTCTGAGCGGTTATAGTGACATAGAAGCACTGTGTTTCTGTCATGTAAGCGCTGCATCTGGACAGCACCGTTCTCGAAGTGCCTGCGGCCCCAACCTTGGAGCAGCATTCAGACGATGGATCCATTTCGTGTGTGGTACGGGCTTCTGGACCATAGCTGGAATTACCTAGTTGGGGCCATATGCATCCCGTCTACGGTACTACGTATCCAACTAAGCCATTAGAGTTTCACTGGCGGTGTTTGTTAGATGTAACAAGAACACGCTCTGTATGAGGACCGACAGGCCATATGAAATGAAAGAATGGGGGAGGCCGGGAGAAACCGCGTGATGACCGCACCTGGAAGATGAACCAGCTTTAGGAGTTATGAACATTGGAAACAAGCACTCAAGCATCGGTTCATCATCAATCGGGTTGGGATCGCTCCCACGATCAGGGGATAGGAGGTCTAAAGGGCAAGGGTGTAAAGTGTAAATTCATTGTAAATATTTGTTGTGTTTTCTTTGTAAATAACTATTTGTTATATGAAAGCTCTGTGCTTGTGTTCACTGTGAGTATCCATGACGTCACAATACAAAGGGCGGATTTTCAGAAAATGTAAACGTATGTCTTCGTTAATCTTTAATTGACAGTCGTCAAATCACTATGAAAATATTTTGTTTAAAAATGACATGACGTGTTTTCCTCTAAAATATATTTCCGTTTACCACGCGAATGTGTATGCGTCCTTTGTCCTGGCTGCTCGGCCCGGGCGCCTGGGCGCTCCTCCACGCCGCGCAATTGCCGCCCTCGCGCCTCCAGCAGCACCGTCTGTCTCCCTCCCGCCCGCAGCGTCATCATCAGCGCTCGCGCCCAGCCGCGCCCCCGCCCCGCCCCGCCCTTCTGCCCCTTCCCCGCGGCGCGCCCTGCTCGCGCCGCGCCCTCGCCCGCCCCGCCCGCGCCGCCCCACCCGCCGCCCCGCCCGCGCCACCCCCCCGCCCCCCCGCCGGCACCCGTCCGTCCCGTCCCGTCCGTCTGTCCCGTCTCTCCCGTCCCGTGCCGTCGTCCGTCTCGTCTCGTCCCCGTCTCGTCGCGTCGCGTCCGCGCGTCGCGTCGCTCCCGCGTCCCGTCCGTCCGTCCCGCCCGTCCGTCCCGTCCCGTCCCGTCCCGTCCCGTCCCGTCCCGTCCCGTCCGCAGCGTGTCTATCGGTGCGCGATGCACGCCCACCCCGCGCCGCCCCTCCCCGCTCAGCCCATCCGCCGGGGCCCGCCCCGCCCCGTCTCGCAGCGTGTCCATCAGCGCGCGCCGTCCGCGCCGCCCGCCTCGCCGTGACACCTAGCTGATCAAGCCCCGAGAGCTGCAGGGGTCATGAAAGATGCATGGCCTCTATGACGAGACTGCGGCCGCCGCCCGTTTACGGCCGAGATCAAACGGCTTACTTCGAACGCCGGACCGGCGCGTGGCGGCGCCCCGCTGCGTTACGCACGCGCGCAGCCCCTCTGTGTCCGAGGCGGGGCTGGTCGGGGCTGGGAGGTCGGTGAAGACTGGGAGGGAGAGAACGGCAAGAGGAGAGGACGAGATGACGGGAACAGGTACAGTGTGGAACGTGAGGGTAGTTGGGATGGCGGTGTGGGGTGGAAGGGTGGAGAGAAACTAGAAAGTCAGGCTGGCAGTGATAGTTTGTAAGTATGAGATGGCGGAGTAGCGAGGACTACGACAGTAAGTAAAAGAACGATGCAAGTAAAAGAAGATAGGGAAGGCGTGCAGAGAATGAAAGGTGAGGGTGGCGGGGATGGCTAGAGCGGCTTGTATTACGGGGGGTGGTGAACTGGGGGTTGGTGAGGCGGCGTTTGGGCGCCGGAATCTACAGTGGTGACGGAGGGTGGCCACAGCGGGGGTGTTGGCGTGGACGGAGCAGTGATGGGGGCGGCGGTCTACGAGGCGCTGCTTCGGTACCTCAGAGAGGACAAGCCGGACGCACCAAAGCGAGCGGAGAGCACCAGAGGTGTTCAATCGTTCCACGGTATCAGCGATACACAGTGGCAACGAACATTATTCATTGTAGGAATATTTCCCTCTGGGCCTAAATTTCGTTGAGGGTTATTTTTTGTACTGCATTTCATCGTCTTTGTCATTACCCCTCAGTAGTCAAAGGATGAGTCAAGAAAGTTAAAAGGTTGAAATATGTAGATTGGTTTTGATTGGTGATTAGTAGGGCCAGAGGTTTATGACCTAAAAATGTTAGAAATATGCTAGGATTTACGACCTAAAATATAAAAATATGACTTTTAAATTTTTTAAATGCATTTTTGGAACCTTCAAAATCTTTCCGCTGTTTAAATAACCATTATATTAAAAATATACTTTTATTTCCACTACATTCACTATTCACTTTTCTTTTGGCTCCCCACAATTCTATCAACTAAAATTATTTATAGATGTGGTTGACTTTAGCACCATAACCTGACAAAAGTAAACTAATAAAACAATGTAAGAAAAACTAAACTAACCTTCACCACTGGTGTTTTCTATTCTTTCTTTTTATTCTTTATAGTTTACCCTCTCAATTGTCATATTTCAGGCTGAAGTTTATAAGTTTTTGATTAAATCATTCCCAGCCATTGTATTGTTGTCATTATTATCATTATATATCATTAATATTGTAATCAATCATTATCAACTAGATTGACTGAAGCATTGAAATGCCTGAAATATGAGGTTTCTTCAGGGTTTTTTCCATACAGATTCATGGTATTATTTTTCATTTTGCTCTGCTAATTCTTTTCTGTACCTTTCAAATTATTTATAGACTTGTTGTACTGTACAATGTAATGTGTGGCCATACTCCATAATATTTTAATTCTTTATTTTTATTTTTGGCGTTATTACTGAATACTTAATTTCCAAGTGGTAATTTATTTTTTGTACTTAAATTAAGAACTTTGTATGCTTTCTACCAACTTAGAAGTATTCAGTAATTAATTCTAACTAAGTATACACTACAAATTTAAGTTATAAAACTCTGTTTGTATTTATTTTTTGGTAAAAATGAAAATATTTCTGTACACCTCTGTAAACACAATAGTTCAATCAGCCGCTACTAGAGTGTGGGTATGTCACACTCCTTATCGATTATTTTCCGCTGTCATTTATTTCTGAAAACCGCCAATCTCACTCACTGATTGGCCATCAATTCGTGCTTACAATGTAGACTGCGGATTGATATTGAAGCGCTCGCTTCAACGCGCTTACTCTTTCATGCCCGAGCCCTCAGTGATGTAAAATTTATCCTGAGATGTACTTGTTTTTTTTGTCTAAATTAATTTCTTTTGTGAATATATTTTTGTCTTGTAGTCTGTCTGCCTGGTTTTAATTGTATCGTTTTTTCTTGGAAGCCGATCAATCTGAGCGCCGACATTATTTTTTTTGGCCAAATATATTCCAAATTTTTGGTTGGTTAGCTGGACGCGGCCCAAAGTTTGTAAATATTTAAATGGTTTTATGAACATCTATTTAAATTAATTTTGTTCAGTCAATGGTAATATTTTAATTGTACATGGCTTTAATTTTTGAAGTCTGCTTAGTGATACGCTTTAATATTTATGTAATGCGTTCATCATGTTAATTGTGATTAATATTATTTCATTGTGTTTCAGCATTTATTGTGAGATACCCTGCATAAAGGCAGCTCTGTCTCTTCTGTGTTTATGCTCTGGTTCTAACGAAATTGTTATGTATGTTCCAGAACAGTGTTGGGATATTGGTGAGGCCTGGCGACAGATGGAGCCGGATTGTTCCCGTCTTTTGCGACCTGGGGCCCAATTAGCTGAGCCGCTGGTGTTTCTTCTCGTGACAGCACGCCGCTCTCATCCTGCTCCACAGAGTAGCGCCCCAAACTTTTGGCCTTGCCCTTTCTCAGTCGCAGAGTGACACCCAATTGGTGTCGCAACCTCAGAGAGTGAATTGCGACTTTCTAAATTGTAAAAGCGAGGCCCTGATTGGCACCGCTCAGTGAACACTATTTTGCATAGGGAACGTAAAGGTATTAATTGGTAATGAGCGTTATCCAAGCAGACATGTAATTTTCTATGTAATGTCTATTCTTACTTTCTGACTAAAGGTTCTTCCTAAAAATAAGTGATTTACCGAGCATTTGAAGCTCAATCACAATTTTCTGTGGCAGTATGGTATATAATTATGTATATTATTTAAAGAGAGTTTTTCCGCAAATCAGAAACTCATGTTAATTTCTGAAATAGTACACATTTCGTACCGTAATTCTGCTTAATTATTAATTATTCTGTAAAGTGACCACATTGTCGCTGCTCTCCGCTCACTTCTAAATTAGGTTTGTGTTCAGAAGATATTGTTTTCATTTTATTTATGTACACTATGTATTCTTTTCCATAGACCCCATGTACGTGCCTCATTAAAAATTTAAGGGTTCAATTTGCTATTTTCTTGTTGAAATTAACTTTTGTCAAATAAATATTGATTGTTAATTGGAAGTTTGGTATCTAATTTTTCCCCACCCCATTAAATAGGAAAACCCTTGACCCGATTCCTGCTTACTGTAATTTCAGTTTTCCCTCTTCGGTAAAGTACTAGTGCCATCTATTGAGAAGTTTAATGTTACTTCGCGTTCTGCTAGTGAAAAAAAATAACATGTCATAAACATCCGAGCCTTACTAGTTAGCCTTAGGAATAATTAAGAAATAGTGTAATAACTGCAGTTTAGTGCTCTTTACACCATACTACTTTAGTATTTATGAAATAATATCTATGTACCCAATTATTCAATTTTCCCCTGTTTTATTGTCAAATGAATATTATTCTATTTAAAAAATTAATGCTGTGATGATGAGGAGGTAAATCTGTGTTTAGTGCTCAGAAGCAAGCTAAGGATCGTCTTAATTGCTCAATATATTAAAGAAAGCCAAATTTTGATGGAAATAGGGTAACTTGAATATATTTTTACCTCGATATAGTCTAATTTTATGTTGAATTTCAAGCCTGGCCATGTCACAACTCGGAAGAAAAAACGAACAAACCGAACAAATTTTGGAATTTGGAGGGGTTAGGTCAGTTCGGATCAACGTTCTCGTCCACTGCCAAATGCTGGAATGTGCTGAGAGCAAGAGGAGCAAAGACGCGGGAGCCGCACTGTGGCAGGCGGTAGAACATCAGTTTGTAGAAGAGAGATCGTTTTTTCCGTATTTTGGAGTTCCCGAATGCTTGAGATCGGTGTGTCTCCTTATTTTTGTTCCAGTTAGTTGGATTTATATTTTTAATCCTGTCAACTTCATTGTTTATGATCAAAATAGATTACCGTTTCGATTCAAAAAGTGTGGCAGTAATACTCTTCAAAAAGGAAAGTTTCTGAAGATGTTTTCTGAAATGGTCTGATGATGAACGGCTGATGAATAAAAATCCATATGGCAACATAAATGCGACCGTAATCAGCATTCTGTCGCTCTATTCAATATTTGCAGTCCACGCTACGATTTTGCAATCGCGTTGGTCTTATTTTTCGCATGCAAACTACCATTTCCCTTACGTATTTCACTATCGAACGAGAGAAGATATAACTTAACCCAGAGTCATAAATAACCAGTAATATCGCAGTACTACATCAAATGGTAAATATACTGTCCCTATGATTTATGCCATGCAATAAAATGGAACATCCTTTTCCTCCAACAAGTGCTAGCCAATTCTTGTGTATTTTGAGAACACAATAAATATATTTTTTTTCAAAATTGCATTCAATTTATGATTCCTGTCAGTTTATGACTTATATGCAAAGCTAGATTAATGTCCTTCTCATGAAATTATGTTTGCTTTTGCTTACCTATGGTTGTGACGAAGACTTCGTTTGACATTTCGCTTATACTTCTAGGCGTCGTGGCTTCTATCGCTGGAAAAATTGAAGAGCAATGTAAGAGTAAAGAAATTTGAAAAATGTATAAAACATAGAATCACAGTTGTGTTTAACACATGCACATACCTTTATTAAAAATATTATCATTTCCTATAACTTTTTCATTTTCGTAAATTACATTTCTTAACAACTTTAGAAGCCAACAAACAACGTAAACCATTTAAAGCATTTCTTTATAGTTTTCTTAATAATGTTACAAGAAAATAAGAATTAAATGTAGATCAAACATTCAAAACCTATTCACCATCCAAATTGAATTTGTTGGTGTTGAGAAACTATTTATATTTTTAATGAAAAACATTAATTATACTAACGAGTAAGAATATTTCTCAAATGTGTGCATATATCACAACTAATGATCCAATCTAATATTAATATCGGAATAGAAATATCGTTACGTAGAAATAAAAGTGTCTCACTTGAAGGTGTGACCATCCGTTCTGTAGTTTCTGTCGTCATTCTGGTTGGCACCTTAATTTCTGAAACAGAAAAAAAGCAGGTAAGAACAAACAGTATTTAGAATAAACATTTACTTAATTTGTATTACATGTATAGATCAAAAATTAATTTCATTATTAGTACATTACGTAATTTTTGACTTTCTTAGCAACAAAGTATTATATACATGAGTATTTTGATGTATGCAAGTTTGCAATCTATAATAATGTCAGGACCTGATAAGAAGATTCTTAATTACATAGTAAATATTTTAAAAATTGTACACTTATGAAAATGCAACACTTTTGGTGTAAACATTTAATGCAATGGAAACACTAGAACGTACTTTTCAAGATAGTAAGCCAATGTGCAATATGTAACGTAGTGTGTACTGGAAAAACGTAATATAGTTTTGTGATATGTCCTTTCTTTAGGTTTTGACTACGTAATGAAATTGATGACTGCATAACGCTAGAATCAGATCATAGGAATACTGTGCCTTACTTCTCACAAACAGCGCTACTGAAGACTTGATCTTTTTGCTCAATGAAAATCAAATCACTTTTGATACACTCAAGTATGATCATTCCATCTTACAAAGAATAACGATCAGTAATATCGCCCAATATGAAATATTGTTCATACACTACTGACTGGCCTATGGCTGCGTAGCATTAATATACTAGTTGAAGGTGTGATAACGTTTATATTAACGTCGGTATCCAGAGATGCAGGAGAGCAGTCGGTCCACTACACCAAAGGACACGTGAGTGGATAACACAAGTCAGCGGTGTAGCCGACGCGCTGGCACGAGAGGCTGAGGGGAGAGCGGCGTGTTGGCGGACGCGCGGGGACGCTCGCGGCTGGCTCCGGCCGTTGCGGGGGTGCATTTGAATGGCGCGCCGCGAAGCGCTTCATAAGAAGGCGCGGGAGGACCACGACCACGACTGCCATTGTTGCGGCGTGTGCAAGCTCCGTTTTCCCCTTCCTCTTCGGGCGGTGGAGGGTGGGCGTGGTTGAGCGAGGCGGAGGGAAGGTGGGGCGGGGTGAGGCGGCGGAATACGGGGCAGAGATTGGCGGGACACCACGGGAAGCAACGGGACGCGACCGAGGAAAGGGGCCGGCACCAGACGGGACGACACGAGACAGGTCGAGACAGGTTGAGTCTGTACGAGACGAGACAGGACGACATTGGACCAGACGAGATTGGACGAGACGGGACAGGTCGAGACAGGACAAAACGGAAGGAGACAAGACAAGACTGGACGTGACGTGATGACACGGGACTAGACTTGACGGGACGGGACAAGGCGGGACAAGACACCCGTCCCGTCGTTCGTCCTTTGTTTATGTTTCGAATTTTTATATTCTTTGAACTTATATATTTTTCGAAATTATATATTTGTAAATTTTTATTTTCTTCAAATTTTATTAATTTTCGAATTTTTATATTTTTCGAATTATTATGTTTTTTGAATTTTTGTTTCCAATTTTTATATTTTTCGATTTTTTATTTTTCGGATTTTTATATTTTTGGAGTTTTTATATTTTTAGTTTTTTCAAATGTTTAGATTTTGTATTTCCACTTTTTGTACTTCTGGTCTTTCGTAGTTCGTCTTTCTTCGTCCGTCTTTTTCCTTTCGTCTTTCGTTGTTCAACGTTCGTCGTTGAACATTCGTCGGTCGGGTTCGTTTATATTTTTCAAATATTTATATTTTTCGAATTTTCATATTTTTTATTTTTTATATTCCAATTTTTATATTTTTTGAATTTTTATATTTTTAGTTTTTTCAAACATTTAGACTTTTCATTTTCTCCACTTTTTGTGGTTTTGGTCTTTCGTCGTTCATTTTTCGTCGTACGTCTTTCGTCTTTCGCCATTCGTCGTTCGTCTTTCGTCGTCCGTATTACAACGTTCGTAGTTGGTTATACTTTTTGATTTTTTATATTTTTCGATTTTTTAATTTTTTCTATTTTTTAGATTGTTTTTTTCCACTTTTAGTGCTTCTGGTTGTTCGTCGTTCGTCTTTCATCGTTCGTGGATCGTCGTTCGAGGTTCGTCGTTCAAGGTTCGACATTTGTTGTTTGTCGTTCGGCGTCTGTCGTATGTCATGTGTTGTGTCGTTTGTCGTTCGTCATTTGTCGTTCGTCGTTGGTAGTTCGTCTTTCGTCGTTTGTCTCGTCGTTCGTCTTTCGTCGGTCGTCTTTCGTAGTTCGTCTTGCGTCGTCCGTCTTTCGTCGTTCAACGCTCGTCGGTCGTAGTACTTTATATTTTTCAAATTTTTATATTTTTCGAATTTTTACACTTTTTGATCTTTATATCTTTAGTTTTTTAAATTTTTTTAGATTTTTCGTTTTTTCCACTTTTTGGCTTCTTGTGTTTCGTCTTGCCTCTTTCGTCGTTCGTGTTTTGTCGTTCGTCGTTCGTAATTCGTTTATATTGTTCGAATTTGTACGGTTTTTGGAATTTTTATATTTTTCGATTATTTCTTTTTTTGAATTTTTATATTTTCCCGTTTTTCTAACTAAGAGATTATTCCTTTCTTCTTTTTTGTGTTTCTGGTCGTTAGTCGTTCGTCTTTAGCGTACCATCGTCGTTCGTCGTCCGTAATTCGTCGTTCGTTGCTTGTCGCTCGTTGGCCGCTCGTTACCCGTCGTTCGTCCTTTGTCTTTCGTCATTTGTCTTTTTTCGAATTTTCTTATTTTTTTAATTTTTCGAATTTTTGATTTTTTAAATGTTGGTACCTTTTAATTTTTTGAATATTAATATTTTTCGAATTACTATTATATTTCGTTTTTTCAAATTTTAATATTCCTAGCTGTTTCCACTCTGTCCCTTTTGGCGTTTCTGGTCTTTCGTCGATCGTCATTCAAC